GCATTGGAATGCTGTAAAGAGGGTTCTAAGATACATTCAAGGAACCTCAAATGTTGCATTATGTTATGGGGGATCTGATTTTATTGTCAGTGGATATGTTGATTCTGATTATGCAGGTGATCGTGATAATAGCAAATCCACCACAGGTTATGTGTTTGCACTTGCTGGCGGAGCTGTAAGCTGGGTTTCAAAACTGCAGTCAGTTGTGGCTACTTCAACAACAGAAGCAGAGTATGTAGCAGCTACACAAGCTAGTAAAGAAGCGATGTGGTTGAAGATGGTGCTGGAGGAACTCGGCTATGAACAAAAGAAGATTTCTCTATTTTGTGACAGTCAGAGTGCTTTGCATTTGGCAAGAAATCCAGCCTTTCATTCAAAGACCAAGCACATTCGAGTTCAGTATCACTTCGTTCGTGAATCTCCAGAGTTTTCTCCTCATAGTGAATTCTACTATCCTTGCCCGTGGACGTAGGCAATCAAGTGCCGAACCACGTAAATCTGTGTGTCCAACATTTTATCTCTATTTTTGCTCTACTATTGCTGCGACCCTGCTCTATTGGGCCCCGGGTTTGTCCCAACAATAGAGAGGGACATGTTTATGTCGTCCGACGAGGCTAAGGAGTTTGGGATTGTGGACGAGGTCATTGAGCACCGGCCGATTGCGCTGGTTTTGGATGCGGTCGAGGGTGGGGAGAAGGAGATGAAAGGGAAGGATGAGGGATTGAGCCCGTAGGCGAAAGGTAATAAAAGATGATTCTTTTTTTCTAATTGCTTCTTTGGTAGGAAACAGAGGTGTTGGAATGCTAATCTATCTATATGCAGCAAGAAACAGTTAGCTCAATAATCACTCGGTGTTTGATGTTTATCCTAGCAGTGTTATTTAGTGAGAGTTACATTCGTCTTTTTCTATTTAATTTTAATACAATGCTGATGTCTTAAGGAATTGTGTTCTGTTTGGTTTGGAGTTTGTTTTAATGTTCTTATTAACTTTGGTTAGTAGCTTCATCATGATAAATGGAAAGCACCTTCACTACATTAAGATCAGAGCTTTAGAATTAGGCATAGTACCCATATAAGAATGATGCAATTTATAACTTACCTATGTGATAAATGAGACAACTCTTATAAATTCACTGATGTTCTCATTTTTCATATGTATAATTATTCTCCCTGAAGCCTTAAATGGGTATGCTCTACTTGGATGATCTTAAATAGATTTGGTTCACTGAAAAACTTTGTTTTATATTGTGGTATGTTGAAGTCAGGTATCTAGCGGTGCTTAACTGTTATCATTTACTTTGAAGATATGTTAATTTTATCATCTCTTTAAGGAACTAAAGTTCCATGTGGATTCTTTTTTGGATGGAGCAATCAAGTATATATTTGATTTTTTTTTTCTCTCTTACTTTCTTGATCATACTTTGATAAAGTGAAACTTCATGGCTGCCAAATTTTGCAGCTAACTTTGTGAATTGTAGGATCAAGGACAACTATAGGACATATTAACATGATAAGCATCGCCAATTCATACTTTTACACTTGTTTTGAGTGTGGATCTTTACGTGTGTTGTATAATCTGTAGTTGCTTTTATTTGTATTTTAAAAGGAACATGTTAAGTGTTGTCTATCTAATACTAGATTTTTTGAGGGGAGAGAGCATATTGATGCTCTGATTTCTCAAACACTTCACACTTTATAATAATCATCTTAATATGCACATTATCGAAACAAATTTTAGCTTAAGCAGTACAATCGCCACTTTTAAAGCATTGAAGTTCAGAATATGTGTCAATGTTGCTAAAAGGTCTTATCCTATGAAGCATTGTATCATATATCATAATATATTAAACAGTTGTGTGATATTGCTGCTACAGGAAAGGTGAGTAAGAAAGAATCAGCAAGGTTGTCGATGTTTATTTCATCCTATGTACTTCTCTGAAATGCTAACATTACAAACTTCTTTATGTTACAGATTTTAGGAGCTGCTACCGTGTTTAATAATACAAGAAAGCATCCCGGTCATCTGAAAGACGTGGTCGCATCGCCAGCCGGACCTGCCATCGTTGGGGTTCACGAGTCGGAACGGAATGGTTTACGTGGAACAATGTTGAATCATCAATGTAGTAACTATCCGTCTCTTCGTAAAAGCTAATTCTTGGAGTACCTACTTTTTAATGACGAGAGAGAACTTTATTTTTTGTTGTTGCTCATTTTGTAACTCAATATTTTTGCTGTGTTGTATAATGATGGATATATTTTGTTAATAGAGATTATTAGATTAGTTAAAAATTCGATTATCGTACTTGCAAAATTGATCCCATTTTTTGCTTAATTCTTCAATGCACAAAGTAGATTCCTTAAAAAAACATTGTAGCATCCGTCTAGGATGCTTCCTAGACGAAAATTCTGTCTAGGATGCTTCTATCCTAGACGAAAACCCGTCTAGGATTCTTCCTAGATGGAAATTCCATCTTAGAAACTTCCCAGACGAAATTCTTTTCCGTCTAGGATTTCCGTCTAGGATGCTAAATCATCCCAGACAGAAATTCTGTCTTGGAAACTTCTCAGATAGAATTTTTTTCCGTCTAAGATTATCCATCTAGGATGTTTTTCTAGACGAAATTCCGTCTAGAATACTACATCATAGACTAAAACTTACTGGACAAACATCCTAGACGGAATTCCATCTAGGATAGTCTTCTTAAACGGAAATATGATTTTTCTAGATGGAATTTTTTGTCCATGATGCCTCATTTTGTATCAGTGCCTACATCATAACAAATCCATGTTTTGGTTCAAAATTTGAAATCAGGAAATAAACATATTAAGAAAAGACATATTGATGTTTTGTTTCCCGCCAACCCATTTTTTAATATTTTTTAACGCGTTTAACGTGTTTTCCCAGCAATTCTGCCTTTGAAACTCTGAATTGGCTTTTCCACTAAAGATGACGTTTCCTGACGTTTCTTGAAAAAAAAATCAATTGTTTCTTGTGAACCAAACTAAGGAATAAGAATCTATTTTGATCTATTCTAAGGCTGCAAATCCGTGTCAAAAAATTTCCTTACGTTTTTTAACCAAACAGGCTCTAAGCGACTTGCGGTTAAACAGCCGGTCAGCGGACCGCAGTATGTGGTCAGGGCCGGCCCTGAGCTAGGGCCACTAGGGCTACAGCCCGGGGCCCACAGCTGAGGGGGGCATAATATCGTATCCATTTCTTTTGTTGCTACACAGCACTATCAAAGGCCATTTCCTTGGTTAAAATAAAAATAGCTACATCTCTTCCCCTGTTCTGCTTCACTTACCGATCTCCTTCTTCTCATATTACCTTTCTGTTCCTAACCTCCTTTGATACCTCGTCTTCCGATGTCAAACCATCTTAAATGGATATACATTCTCTTTCCACATGCTTTTCTCTAACTTCTAATGCACATTCATGTCCTTGATGTGGATAAATGGATAAATACTTCCAGTTGATGTCATTCCTAAGCTGAAGCACGCTGTTGATGGTGCTCAGAGTGATGAGTCTGAATTCTTGTTGAATGATGCATATAAAAATGACGAACTGTAATACCCCAACCCTTGAGAGGGTGATGTGATTAGTATTGATAGATTTGATTGGAATACTCATACCACCAAGATGCATCTTTTTTTCGGGAACCTAACTCTTAGAAACTCCAAAGTTAAGCGTGCTTGGCCTGGAGAAATTCTAGGATGGGTGACCCCCTGGGAAGCTTTCCAGGGAGCACGTAAGTGAGGACAAAACGTGCTGAAAAGACATGTGGTGGTTTGTGAGGCCAGTCCATCAGATCTAATAGCGTACCGACTCCGGGATTCCGGGGCGGGGCGTTACACGAACACCAGGGATTCTTGCGCTCAAAGTGGCAAGTAGAAGGATATCTAAATATGCAGGCAGATTTGCTCGAGAAGTAAGTTTACAATTGAATTGTTTTAGAGATCAGATTGTTATCTAAGTTATGGTGTTGATTTCGGTTCTTTGTACTAGGTACACTAGTTCATTTCCCTTGAAATCATTCGATGATATTCTAAAGAAAATTGAAAAATTAGCTCCTGAACTGCATCGTGTAAGTTATAAAGCTTGAATATGGAGGCTACAATTTTAAAGAAGTGTTATTTCACTTTCTGTTTCTGTGTACATCATTTTATGACTGGGATGCAGGTCCGGTATTTGCAATACTTGAATGGTCTTTATCGTGATGATTATCTTGCTGCTTTGGATAATCTTATGACATATAGAATTACCTCTGTATCTTATTTTTGTGAAGTTCACATCAAATTCAATGTTACAAAAGTAATATGGAAATTCATGCTAATGTTATTTTGAAAGTGCATACTGGAAATGAAGTTAATTATGTATTTCTCAAGTATATACAAAAGACACTTGATTTTAATTGAATTTAATTATGTATTTCTCAAGTATATACAAAAGAAGGAAATTTGATGCACAAGTCTAAAATGTTATTTTGAAAGTGTATACTTCTAAATACTTAACGCAAATAATACTTCTAAGAAAAGTGATAGGGCCACAACCCCAACCACAAAGTGTTTTTCCTTATCTTTTGTAAAATCTTATAATTTTAATAAAATTTATTTATTTGTATAAAGGGACACACTTGAGAAAATTTGCCCTGGGCCTTAGAAAACCCAGGACCGGGTCTGTATGTGGTATATTAAACCAAACACACGGGGCCCCACAAAGAGATTGATCAGATCGAAGTCCGGTGCGAGACAACTAACAGCTGATCACGACCAACCATGTATCTATGCCAAAGCCGAAGAAGCGACGGGACAAAAGTTAATCTCTCACACCCCGCACACCGATCATCGTACCCGCTCACTTACATGCGGGGCCCACGTAACATGCAACAACCGCTTGCGAACAAGCGAAATCCAAAACAGCCGTGACTATTATGAGAACTAATTAATGCCAACATAGTGATTGAAATCATTATAATGATAATGATTAAAAAAAAAAAGCGTACGTTCAAAATCAAACCATGTTCAAACCCCAAATTAGAAGTCACTGCCCTCCACAGTACAATCAACAACCAAGAAGCTGAAGAAATCATAGGAGGGACTTGAGAGAACGGCACTTAAAAGGCTTCCTACCTCTCTTCTTCACTACCCTTTTCTTCTCCTCCTCCTTCCCAACATCAATCTCCTCATGCTCCTGGCGAGCGCTACGGTTAACATCCCCGTCGTCTTCGTCGAAACAATCGGGATCGTACTCATCGTCGCCTGCAACAGCGTTATTATCGCCGTCGCCGTCGTCCAACATTGTACCGCTCTCCTTGCCGCTGCAATCTTCCTTCACCTTAACCACACCGGTCGACGTTTTTCCTCTTTGCTTCCCTCGCGACGGCCCGAACCCCCCGTAGTAATAATACAAGCTTGAGTCGTCGGTACCCGTCGCCTCTTCTTGGCGATTGCCGTTGTCGGTTACAGCTGCGGAGGGATCGGTTGCTCGATGGTTGGAGGTGTAGGCTCTTATCTGGGTGAGGTGGTAGCTGCACAAGGAATTGGGGAGCTGAGCGGGCCTCTTGCAACGCCACCCCTTGCCGTCGCTCTTCTTGCAGTGCTGCGCAGCAAGGCTACCGTCTGAGGTCTTCACGGTATCATCCTTCCCTTTTCCTTTGCTCGCCCTCTTCCTCTTTGTCGTCGTTCTCTTTTCCTCGGCCTCCTTCGTTTCCTTCAGAGTTAGCTCACCGGCGGTGCTGTATTTGTTTATGCAGAAACCCTAATAATGATGTGATAACAAGAGAGGAAATGGAGAAGGGAGCGACAAATAAATAGGAGGTAATGTGTAGTGAACATTATTGGGCATACCGAGTGATGGCGGAAATGACACAAATGGGCTCGGTTTCTTCGTCTTTTACGGCGTTCCCCAAAATGCCCTCGCTCCCTCCTCCCTCCTCCTCCTCCTCCTGCGTAAACCAAGCCCGAAAACTTTTTATCCCAAAATGCCCTCGGTGGAAAGGAAGCACGCACCAGTGTAGCAAGCAATAATAGAAAGAAAAGCGAGTGAAATACAAAAGAAATTTTTTTTTTTAGCCAGATCGCATGCTAGCCGCAAGTAGAGCCCTATCCCAAAATTTTCGGAATGGATTTAACCTAGGCCGCTGGATCTAGGGTTTTTTATTCTTTTGAAAGAGCCCAACCCTAACATAATCCACTAATTAACGGAATCAAAGATAACCGATCTCTGTAGATAAGAAAACATAGAGCACAAATCAGGATGAGTAATGATCAGCTCGTTGTCCAGTGGCTCGAGCCAATTTGAATATTACGGCAATTAATTAATCCCCAAAAAGGAACTCGAAGGATTAATAATAATAATAATAATAAACCCTAACAGTTGAGCAAAACCTAGCTCGAGGAGCAGCAAACGAAAGGAGTAGAACTGGCAAAGGGAGAGCTCAGCTCGAACAAATCATGCAATTTGAGACACTGATTTCATCCGATCGAACTGAGGGAGGGAGGGAGGGAGTGCGATCTGACCTCGAGATTGGTGATGAGGAAGTCGCAGTAGGAGGAGTTGGGATCCGTCGCCATTAGATCCCACGGCGAGCAGTTGAGCTCGCACACGGTGAGGCCCTCGTCCTCAGCTCGGTCGCCGGCGTCGAGGGGCGATTAGGGTTAGCAGCGTAGGCTAGCGATGCGGAGCCCAGAATCTTGGAGGCGTTCCTTCGAATCCTCATTATAAACTCCCTCACGAACCAACTAGGGTTCAAATTAAATGAGATCAAAAGGCTCGTCAATGAGCATTATTTTGTTGAGGGGGGTCGAGTGAGAAGAGCAGTGAGGGGAGGGCCTGTACTCGATAGCTAATGTTGCTGCAGGCTGCAGCTTCAACATCTTCTCTTTTTTGCTATGTGATTTTTGTATTTTAATTTATTTATTATTATTATTATTATTTGGTTAGTATTCAATATCTGCCCCTGTTGTCTTCGAATAACTACGGAATTGCCCCTATCGGACCTGGAAGCACTGACCCAGGATCAACGCTGTCAGATCCGAGTCCAAACTCTCAGAAACCTATCTTTACTTTTTATTAGTAATTTTCACGGAACTACCCTTAACTTTGGGGGTTCGCACTAAATCCGAGCGTGCTATATAAATTTCACTGAAGCCTCCTCCATAAACTTTGGAGCCGGAAAAATTCAAAAAATTTCAGCAGACTCAATGGGGTTCGTGGGTCTGGCTAAAAGATAAAAATATCCAATTGAGCCCGGCCCGCTAACTTTGAGCCGTTGGAATGTTAATGGACTAACGTGTAAAAGCATAAATTGATGAGTATTTTTTATCAACTTGCAGGACCCCTTAACAATTGAAGGAAATGAGAAATTGAAATTTTAAGGGACTAATATGTAAATAACCTCAATCAATAATCACTTGCTATTTATCATAGACAATGGCTTCATTACTTTCTCCTTTCTCCTATGTTCGTCGAATAATATTTCCCGATTAGGGTGCTAAACCGTATCCGTATCTCAGGAAATATCTGTAATCATAACTGTTAGGATATACATATGGTTATTCAAATCTATAACCGATAGGATATGGTTACGGATATAATTTTGTAGTGAAATATCCGGACCCGTCTCCGATATATACGAAAAAACATTATTCAAACTGTTACAATAGCTTTAATCCTTAGCTTATAGATTTGATGTTAATTTTGATGATCATGATGCTTAATCTTAGCTTTTTCACATAAAATGTACATATTAATGAACTCTTTTGTATCACATGAACTATTTTTTAATATTATCTAGATTTCTCATATCCATTTTATATCTGCATACATATCTACTTTTATATCCACATGTATACCTGTATCCGTATCCGATTTTAGCAAATATGAATTTTCCTTACCGATGGCATATCTGTATCCGAGATAGGTAAGCGGATACGAATATGGTAAGTATCATATCTAAGCCTTATCTAGATTCCAGGGCGAATGCGCCCTACTCCCAATAGAATGATTTATTACCACTAAACTCATTGAACATTAGGGTTTTGCTAACCATTAACATGTTTTACTAACCACTAGTGTGCACTCGTGCAAAGCATGACCCCTTTTTTTTTTTAAGCATTGCATTTTGCACTTGCCTCCCTCTAAGTTTTAATATATTTGATTTAATTATTTTACATATGCTTAAAATTAGAAATCATATCTACTGCTCTATACTTAAAGAAGAATCTAAGTTTTAATACATTTGATTTAAAAATCATATCTACTCTTCTATACTTAAAGAATGATCCAAGTTTCAATACACTTGATTTGCTTACTGCTTATGATACAGTAAATTATTGTAGCATGAATAGTAACTTCAAGTATAGTGGAGCAGATTTGATTTACTGTTTATGCTACAGAAAATTATTGTAGGATGAACAGTAGTGTAGAGAACCAAATTTAATTTATTGTTTATGCTATAGTATTTAGCTGTAGCGTGAATAATAATTCTTTGGATTCTCATTTAAGTATAGATGAATAGATTACCTTTAGGGCAATGGATAATGGATAAAGAATATTGAGATCCTCTACTAATGCATAGTGTTCCTAATATCTCCTAATAAAGATATCTTAGTTTTTGATTTATCAATGAAAGGCCAAGATCTCATCTGAGAGAGAGAGAGAGAGAGAGAGAGAGAGAGAGAGCTCTACATTTCTATTCATTTTCTCTCTTCGGCCACACTCCTCTCTATCTCTCGATCTGCCCTTTATCTATTGTCCTTAGAATATTAGTTAGCAAAACCCTTAGCATTGACTAGTAGTAGCCCAGTGTTAATGTATTGCAGCGTGTTAAAATGCTGCTGCTTATTAGGTAAAACATGATCTCCTTTTTTGCTAATCTGGTTGACGTTTTTAGTGTCCATCTCCTTTTTTTACTTTGTTTGTTAATTTAATATATATTAGATAATTACTTTTTAAAGTATTATCGAGTCTCAAATGCAAAACAAACAGACTGACAAAGTTGCCATTATGAAACCAAATGAGTGACTATGTTTAGCCATGTTTATTATCAGTTGGTAGTGATCAAGTTAATCAAGTCACTTTATCTTCATTTTCACATAATCAAATATTTGTCATGACAAACGTAATTCTACAAGAAAGTATAATGGGATAAAAAATTGGCGATGGTTGATGAGAAGAAAAAGAGAAACAAATGGCTACTCACCTCTCTTATTTCTAAACATGGATGTACATAGTTTGGACTGTGCAATGTTTAGTGAAGGTCACTAATGTATTGGCTAAGAAAGCTGCTAGTATGGGCTCTACTTCCATCATCTACCTATGTGTGTGTATTTCTATACAACTTTTTATTAAATCTTGCTGACATGGTGGTAACATGGTCTTATCAAGTCATTGTCATGTCAATAGAAATTAAGTAAAAGTTCAAGTTTTTTCGACTGTATCACCGTCACACCAAAGGGGAGAAAAAGAAGAATGTGAAATTAGAAGTTTATTCTTCCACATCATTGACACGTTAATAAAATTTAACAACTACTTTGTAAAAAAAATCTACATTGAAAATATAATAACTTTAGGAGTCTCACTAGTTACTTTCAAAAATTCAAGTAATATTTGGTCGTTATATAAAAAACCTACACTAAAACTTAGACCTTCAATTAGTGGATAGATTGAAGTCCCACGCTAAACGATTCAAGAGCATACAGAAGTACACAATATCATACTAACAAACCACAAAACAGAAGAAAGGGTCCCACATCTAGGACTGAAAATTAAGTTATAAAAACCGAGTTAAAACAGTAGCTAGAGACGAATGCACAGCCATCAAATTTTGGGAAATCTTTAGACAAAGTCTCTTTTTTAATTTTATTAACAAAATCGACTCTTTTTTTATTTAATTAGTAATATCGATTTTTTTGCCACATTCAGTATGACTAGTTAAAAGGAGATCGATTTTACAAAGTAGAGTTTTTAAAATATAATGAGTTATTAGTCTCATGTATTTAGTGACTACTAATCACAAGTTAATTAGATGCTTAAGTATACACAGGACTAAATGACCAATAGTCATAAGATTAGTAGCCATAAAATACACAAGACTAATAGTCCATTGTATTTTAAAGATTTTATTTTATAAAATCTTTCTTCTTTTCTTTTTGCTGGTCATAGGGACGTGATAGAAAAGAGATAGATTTTGCTAAGTAAATAAAAAAAGATAAATTTTATTAATAAAAGTAAAAAATAAAAAAAATGTCTTTTTTAAATTCGCACGTGAGAAGCCACTTTCATTCCTTCTTCCTTACCTAATTACTTTTTTCCTAATTTATTTTATTTATAATAATCTTGTCCTCACGAGTGGACTTAGCACTCAGTCGACTGGTCTCGGTCCTAAATATCATTCTCTCGCCCTTTCTAATTGTTCTTCAAGCTCTCGCATCTTTCTCTCTCGCAGATTCGCATTGAAATCCCTCTCCTTTTTGTGTTGGGTGCTAATGGGTTCTCTGAATCCTCGTCTTTTGGGCCTCTTCTGTTTATGGGCAGCTGGGTTTAGCCTCTGCCAGTGCAAAGATCAGTCCTTTCTTATTTCTAGCTTTCGCCTCAGTGAAACTTGGCTCAGGCCCTACGATTGGCAATATATCAGAGGTAAAATTTGATTTTTTTTTTAAATTTTCCTTCTTATTTGACTGTTTTATGGTGTGATTTATTATGGGGTTTTGTTAAAAAATTTGATTTGAGGCGTTTTGATTTGGACTTGTTGTTTGAAGGAGAGAGGTAAGGTTCAATCTTGCTAAATTTTTGGCGGTGTGATTTATTATTTGCATTAGAGGAAAACATTTTTTTAATTGCTTGATAAGAATCTTTGTCGTGTTTAGATGAAAGGCCCGTTGTGTGTGATTTTGTGAAAATTTGATCAACGACCAGTTATGGTTTCTTGCATTCAAATAAACTAAAACTTTAGAAGCAAGACATATTGTATGTATTTTAATACTTAAAACTTAAATTGTGTGGCAATATTGGGTTTATTTGGTGTTAATCCCACATTTGGTATATAAAATTTATTCTAAAAACATATTATTTTTCTCTATCGAGTTCTATGCCCTAACCTTTTAGCTTGTGTAAATGGTGGGTTCCGACTTCCGAAACTGGCATTGAGATTTTTATCTAATATAATGAATTGGTTAATTATGTATGGCTGCAGTCCATGGAGACAGAGGAGATTTTCTTACCTTCACTTATTATATCCTTTATCATTTGCTTTTTTCTCCCCGTTTGGTTTCTCTATGCCTTATAAAGGCGAACAAGGAATTTTATATTAAATAATCATATGATGTTGAATACCCAGCACCATCATCATTATTATTATAGTTATATATATGTTCTATTAACCTTATACTTCTGTATCGATGCAGTTGACGTTCCACCATGGTTCTCCTCGATGACATTGACTTTTGTATCTGATATTGAAATTGTAAGTATTCTTCCGCATCTAGTAGACTGTTATATTTTCACCCAATAAAAATTGAGGTTCCAGTGCTCTCGGAATATTCTGAGCTGTACATTTGGTGAAAGATTGCTTGTTTGACCAATTTTGTTAGCAATCGTTTTTGGTCGTAAAGCTTGATTTACTAGGGCACTGCCACAAACAAAACCTATTTGAACTTTGTCCCGTACTAGTTGCGTTGTTTGCTTATGGATTGACTTTTTACCTTACAGAGTAAGGGCAATATTAAACAAATTCCGAAGAGTAATCTTCCTTTGATATGCTTGAAAGATGGCAGCCCTCCTATTCCAGATATTTCAGAATCTTATTTGGATAGTTCATGTAAGTTCCTTTTTTAAAAAAAAATAACTTATCGCGGGTCCCGGACAGACCTGTGAATTTTATTAGTGAAGATAGCATAACAAGCCATTAAAACAAAAGGGGCGCTGAAGGATTGTTCTTTGGATGCATTATTCTAGAATTATCCCGAGACAATACAAGATAAAGCATGCCAAAGAAGATTCTGAAAGCCCTAAAGAAAAACATGAGACAGTTCCGTTCGCTCGGTGCTATCGCCTGTAGTTTCTTGTACTGATCACTCTCCAGAATGATAAATATGATTTGGTTAATATGTTTTATGAGAAACTTCATGTAAGAACATTTGTCAACCTTAATAAAGTTTTCTTCACTTATATACGTGTATGTGTGCATTTGCTTCTTATGACCTACTTTTGAGCTGGAATAAGGACAATGTTCAGATGATGAAGTAAATTTAGTTAATATTTATCTTTCTTGCAGTGTCAAATTTTCTGGTTAATGGATCCTTTGGTGGTCCCCAAGCAATCAGAGTGGAACAATGCATTCCATTTCGGAAAAATGTGACAGTTGTTTTGTCAAATGAACAGGTAATTATTCCTCAGTATGTGAATTTATCAGTTGATCAACTAATTTATACATACCAGCACTTGCGAGAAGCTGATTAATTGAAATTATATGCTTACTTTATTTCTCTAAAGTGCTTATGGGATTTATTTCAACATGTATACTTATATTAATGGAGATACAAGTGAGGTGCAGCTAAAACGAACCTAATGATTACGAATTGCAAAAAGCTGGTTTCCTCTTTAAGAACCCCATCAGCTCCACATACTTCTACCTTGTTAAATGCTTATAATACTAATATACTTCATGCCTAAAATTAGGAGAGAGCCAAAGTTTTCTCTTGGTAGGAATCAAATGCTGACATCTGTGAAATTCATTCTGCCATCAACATTTAATTTAATTGATTTTGCTGCTCAAGAACTTCATTGATTACTTAGATTAAATAGTTTTTCAGGCAAGGGAGATCAAACCTCATAAACAGGTCATCTATGTCCACAGATTCTTCATAAAACAAACATTATATATCTTTTTGCTTAAGTCAGCACAATACCTGCAAATCGTCAGACACTCACCTCACTTTATACCAATGCCTTCATCTGAAAACTTGTTATTCATAAGGTAGTGAAGGTCAGGTGTATATAATATATTGCAATTAGATGTCACCACTGTATTTACACTATTTTGAAACTTTCCATGCAAGTCTAATGCATACATAAAGAGCTTTATGAGATGGTGTTTACACAATATTTTCAGACTCCATTTGTTCTTTCCATTCTTTCTTTTGAGTGGATTCTCCCTTTATTTCTCATAGGTGGGAACACAGATACCCAACATGTAAGGAAGTTCATTTTTTTCTGAGCACGTCTTCCTTTTAAGTTTTAAATTTGTAGTTTTAGTTTGATGTCTACCTTCAGACTGGGCATGGTCCTATGTTACTTGGGTACTTCTATGATGAAGCCGTACCCATACCCAACACGTACCGACACTTATCCGTTCCCAAACTTCATGGACACTCCTTGGATGTGTTCATACATTTCCCCAAGCATGTACTCAATCATGCTATATATGTTTTAATTTAAAATAGTTGTCATACACTTCTTGGACGTACATCCTGCACTTCATGTCAATTTTTTAAGACTCGTTAGACATGAGTCCGGTTGTTTCAGCCGGTATCTAAGTTAAAAAACTATGACGCAAAAGGGTGTTTTGAGTGTCTAGTTAAAAAAAGACAGTTTTCAATTTGTAATAATCAACATAATAAAAAAAACTTTATACTATGATAGGAAATTAAATTCAAATAGTACATGAATTGAAAAATAATAATGATCTCATGTAAATTATTAATTTCAATATATGTATGTACCCGTGTCCCCGTACCCTACATTTCATCAATTTGCTATGTCTCGTACCCGTACCCACACCTGTACTGGTACCCGTACCCGTTTCCATGCAACTCATGGAGAGGTTCACTTTGGATACTGCTAAGAATTTTCTGAGCTACTTTCTGTCGATAAATGTGCAAGGAAATGCATTTGTCCTTATTATCTTCTCAAGTTATCTTGGGAAGTCAATAAACATTTTATTCATGTTTGGCTTGGTCTTCAAGCATTATACAACTATAATTTGCAATTTTTGAAATATTTTCTGCAGATAACTTCAGGGGTATGGTACTTTGGTTTTTTTAATGGCCTTGGACCTGCTAGAACTCAATCGAAGATGGTATGTTAGATAATCATTACTTTATGATGAAAGTCTTATGCAATGATGTTAATGTATATTCTGTTGACAGATTAAAAATTAACTTTTTCTTGATGGATTGAAAACTAACTTTGTAGGTGTTAATCAACTTTCCAGCAATTAATAACTCTTTACATATCCCTAGTACCTTTGACTATACAACATGACACTATGCGTGCGCGCACACACACATACATGCAATTAATTTTTTTTAAGTGTAAAGTTTGAGCTTAATTTGAAAGATTTGAAGTAGATGACCGAAACATATTTTGTGCAAGTGCTGAGTCAAATTTGAGCTAAAGCTTTGCTTCTTTGTCTGAAAGTAAAGATGACCAATGAACTGCCTTCTGAAGGATTGACACCATTTCGTTGACAAGCTGGTTCTTATCAATTTTGGCTAGTTTCGACTTATTTGACCTACTGCAATGTCCCGACATCATCTTTCGATATGTCTAACCTAGATTGTTTTTGGCATTTGATGTCAAGGGTGAAACTTGAACATTTTAACTTGTTGTAACACTGGTCGAGCTTTTAAAGCTATTTTCTAATTTTACTACCTCTTGGATGACACTTCAGAGCCACCATTTGTGAATTTATCTTGAGTGAATCCTTTAGTGAGGCTTACTATACTGTATCAAGGTATTGATTCAGGTTCTCCATTCGTGTTTTAAAAAGTGGGAGATTGCTCTCTGAGGATATTTTTGCTATGATTGTGATTACTTTCTCTCTTTCTCACACTATACTTTTTCCTTGTTATAATTGTTATTGCTTGCATTAATTATCAATTTCTTATCAAATCATGGACTCAGAATTTGCATTCGACATTACTTTTCTCTGGGATTACAAGAGTAGGGTAGTACCTCAATGTAATCTTGCAGAACCTTGATGATGAAATGTTGACTTGTGACAAATTGCAGATTAATCGAGGTCATGCTTACATGTTCAGAACCAACATAATTGTGCAAGGCTGTTCCAGTTCAGCAATATGGGGTCAGTATTGTAACCAGAGTATTGATATGGTTACATGTTCTCAATCATCTACCGATAAACCAAATACTACAGAAGGGAAAGAATTGGCATCAAATTCCAGTATTTTCACAGAAGCAGAAAATATTATGAAGTGCACAAACCCTATTGAGTCATCTTGTCTTGGTTATGGGGAATTTAGTTTCTACTTTCTGGATGTAGTTAATGTTGCATCTCAGTTTACAATCATTGCTACTGATTTCAAATTCAATCAAACATCCTCCGCCAATAGTTCAGTAGTTTTTAATGGAATTCATCTAATGTGTTACGCTCGCTACAATGCAATGCCACTTAGTACTTTATATGATTATTCTGCTGACATAAGCAGAAGCCCATTAATTGTGAAATCTCCAAGAATTGGAAGATGGTACATTGCCATTCAGGTTGTTAACCGGAAAAGAGAAGATACAGTGATTGAAGAAAATTATCCTGAGGGTAACATGTGCTTCTCTTTCGAATGGAAAGTACATGAATGTCTTAGTGGAAAGGCCGGGCTCAACTGTTCATGGGAAGCGCACATGCTTCAGGTAGAATATTTTGCAATTATTGTTTTCCATCTGGATTTACTGCTTTCTATGTTACTTTTATCCTATAGATCTACAGATTTTATTGATGCATGGTTCTACTAAAACAGTGAACTCGGAAATAATACTTGAAAATTTAGTTCCCCTTTTTTAAAAATGGTTCTAAGTGTTTTTTATTAACTAGTATACTGTACGTGCGTTGCATGTGGACATAATAGTAGAAATTTCGATAAACGGCATGGAACATATATGCCTTCTCCCAATCACTTGGTTGATGGCTTGTGCTATTGTCTTAATACTGTACTTTGCGATATGCATCAGTAACTCTTTTCTTCTAATGACATAATGTGTGATTCACAACATTTATTAGTTCCCTAACCTATACCATTATGTGCTCCAGAGTGTCATAATTTTTTACAAATTTTATGTGAGTGTGAATAGTTAAAGTAGATAGTACTTGAATAGTTAAGTTAGATTATCAACATTTATTAGTTAATTTTTTACAAAATTTTATAAATTTTAATAGTTCCCTAATCTATACCATAAATGCGTGATTCACAACATTTATTAGTTCCCTTACCTATACCATTATGTGCTTCAGAGCGTCATAAATTTTTACAAATTTTATGTGAGTGTGAATAGTTAAAGTAGATAGTACTTGAATAGTTAAGTTAGATTATCCCTCATTAATTCATAGTATTTGCAATTGTTAGTCATATATATAAAAAATTATATTGTTTTATTTGCATTGAAATATAAATTGTAGGTACTTGAATATGAATAATTAAATGACAATATTTTCTCATTTGTTCATAGTATATGCAATACAATTAGATGGTGCTATTGTGCACATTGATCGATTACCAGATTCCTTGAAACAGTTCCATATGAATGATAGGAACTATAATTTCTCTCTAATATTTGCTTCGAACCACTTTAATAGAATCACTTAATAGTATTATTATTTTAATGGTTTTATTCTTCAAAAAATGTGTACATATTTTCTCCTATATTTTCTTCCTAAAATAAGTATCATAAAAGATTCTACAAATGAGCAGACAAAGAAAATATGTAAATGAGGATGAATACATTTCTAAAAGATTAAAAAATGTAAAAATAAAAAAATGAATGTGTATCATGACAAAAAATGAAGATAGAAAAGGTGCATATGAAGAAATTGAATATAACATCATTTTTCTACTGCATAACCATGTCAAAAACTGTCAAAAACTTTTGAGAAAGATGAGGTTCAGAGTGGTTCATGCACGTTAGCTTGTTAAGGACAGGGGCCCTGGCGGGTGGGAGGACGCAGGTAGTGGAGAGGGAGATGAGCGTAGTGGAGATGGTGAGCATGGATAGAATGTGTTCATTTTTGCAAGAGATTGGTTGTGATTTGTAGTGGTTAGTAGGAAGATGAATAGTTGTAACATTCTTATTTATTGTAGTAGTATAGTGATAATTAGTGAGAATTGAGAAAGATAATGTAGGAGATTAATATGTTAATGGGACGTTATAAAAATATAGTTAATTTAATTTATGGTGAAATTATTTGGGGGTTATGTATAAGTATTTAATGGGGGTTATGTATGTATAGGGTGTGATTTATGAATGCATATATGTGTTTTATGCATGCATATTTGTGTTTAATGGATGCATGCATGTGTTTTGGAGGGCGTTTTTGGAAGAAAATGTGTTGAAATCATGGAAAGAATCATGTAAATTAGGGATTGAAATCCTAGTCAAATCACATTGAATTAGGGATTGATTTGTACTATAATGGACTTAGTATTTGGGATTAATGTAGGCTAATTGGTAGGGAAATTTACGGTAGGCAGATTTTTTTTTCTTTTTTTCTTTTTTGCTTGGTTCAATAGTTGTATAAATTCAGCTTGTGTACCCAGATTTTTTCGTCAATGAAATACAAAAAAAATCAATCACATTCTGGTTTCATGGTATCAGAGCTAGGGTACCTTACCCTAGCTAAAAAAATATGTCGAAGAATCCTACCAGTAAGGATTCGATGTCTTCGTCTTCAACTGCGCCCGGAGGCCGAACAGAGGAGATATCATCAATGTGTTCAAATCTGTTGAACAACGTCTTTTCAACTCACCACGGAGAAGCTAGATGGAATTTTTTTTGAGAGTGGGCCCAATCAATTAAGCTCGTGATCGATGATCGATGGCAATGACGAGGGGAAATTGAGATATCTAACCGGAGATTCAAAGAAGCTTGCCTCAACTGATGCCACCGCCTTGCAAAAATGGAAGTCGAAAAACTCAATGGTGACCACATGGCTCATCAATTCGATGAAACCCCCCATTGGAAAGACATATCTCTTCTTATTGACTGTCAAAAATATGTGGGATGCTGTCCGGGAGACCTATTCCAACGCTGAAAACTCTTCTAAAATGTTTGAGATCAAAACCCGTTTCTAGCAAATGAGACAAGGAGAAAGGGATGTGATCGACTACTTCATGCAAAAGACAATCCTATGGCAAGAGCTCAACATGAGTTTTGAAGAAGAGTGGGAGTGCCTTAATGATAGTGCTCGGTACAAAAAGAAGCTTGAGAATGGAGGAGTGTTTGAATTCCTTGCAATTGGGTCAGGCCCAAACCAAAAGAAGGGGCAACCATGGTGCGAATATTGTTTCAAACCTGGCCACGTGACAGAGACGTGTTGGGATATACACAAGAAGCCCGTTGATTGGAAGCCCGGATAAAACAATAGAAACCGAGGCTATCAAGACACGACTGAAAAAAAAACTCGGGAAAAAGGAGGCAATGAGGCCGCAACACGTAGTGGCTTCAACTTAGAGCGGTTGGATCAACTCTACAAACTCTTTTCTAGTTTCCAAACCGGTCAATCCTCATCCAGTTGGATCAACCCTACCAACTCTTTTCTAGTTTCCAAACCAGTCAGTCCTTATCTAATATCCCAACCGCTTCATTAGCCCACAAAGGTAATCTTTTATCCGGCCTAAAGACCTTGTCCCATTTTAAAACACCTTGGTTTTTTGACTTAGGAGCCTCTGATGATCACATGATGGGCTTTTATAATCGATTTTCGTCATACCCACCTTGTGCTAGCAATTTGAAAGTCAAAATTGCAGATGGTTCCCTTTCATTAGTCGCAGAAAACATATTAAAATTTCTAATTCTCTAACCCTAGAATTGGTTCTTCACATTCAAAAATTATCCTGTAATCTCTTATCCATTAGTCGACTTACAAAAAATTCTTTCCTGCTCAGGGTTTTTCAGGACCTATCATCAAGGAAGACGATTAGCAGTACTAAGGAATGTGAGGGACTACTAGTTTGAGGAGGCTGATAGGGGTAAACATTGTCAAACTGCAATTTATAATTTTGCATCCTCTAGGGATAGTAAACTTTTATTATGGCATTTCAAAATGGGACATCCTAATTTCCAATACTTGAAACATATGTTTCCATCTATTTTTCTGAATAAAGTCTTACAGTGTGAATTTTGTGAACTTGCAAAACATTAACAGACACCATTTCCAAAATCAGTATATAAACCAGCCAAACCATTTTTCCTAATTCACAATGACCTATGGTGACCCTATCGTACCCCTAATCGAAATCACACAAAATGGTTTGTGACATTCATTGACGATTATACACGTGTTTTCTGGACTTATTTGTTCAAAAATAATAATAAAGTTTGCCCAACTTTCATCAATTTTCATCTGATGATCCATGTAAGCAATAAAAATTACCTTAATTCCTAGCAAAGAAGCTCAAAACTGACAAAAAAAACGCTAATATCTCTCAAACCGTAAGGAATTTAGCGAAACAGACAAGAGCAAATCGAACCCTTTAGGGTTGGTTTGGTCGGCTCCGTCTCGTCGAGATAGTCGATTTTCATATATAATTCGTCTAATTCCGACTTATGGTTTAAAAGTTATGACCCGTTTTTCACAGCATATTCTGAAGTCCGCTTGCAAGACTAGACTTCACCTGAACATTGAAGTTCGCCTGTAATGCTAAGTTCGCCTGACAACTTAGCTCGTCTGAACTGATTGAAGCTCGCCTGATAGCTTCGCCTACGAGATTCGCTATGCATCGAGGCTCAACATCAGAAGACGAGGTTCGCCACGTAACGAGGCTTAACATCAAAAGACGGGGTTCGTCACGCAGCGAGGCTTAACATCAAAAGACGAGGTTCACTGCGTCACGAAGCTCATCATTAAAAATGAGACTTTACATCAAAGACGAAGCTCGTCATTGAAAACGAGGTTCGAAGCTCGTCATTGGATACGAAGTTCGAAGCTCGTCACTGGATACGAGGTTCAAAGCTTGTCATTGGAAACGAGGTTCGAGGCTCGTCATTGGAAAGAGGTTCAGAACTCATCACCAGACGTAAAGCTCATTAGTGAAGATGAGGCTCGTCATCAAAGACGAAGCTCGTCATTGAAAACGAGGTTCGAAGCTCGTCATTGGATACGAAGTTCGAAGCTCGTCACTAGATACGAGGTTCAAAGCTTGTCATTGGAAACGAGGTTCGAGGCTCGTCATTGAAAACGAGGTTCGGAACTCATCACCAGACGTAAAGCTCATTAGTGAAGATGAGGCACGTCAAAAGAAAATTCACAAGACTTGCTACGCAGTTGGACTCAGCTATCGAAGACGAAGTTCGTTGGTGAATACGAAGCTCGTCAGACAGTTCGCTATACTGCAAAGTTGGCCTTAGAAGACGAACATCGTTGCATATTGAGACTCGTTCAATCAGATGAACTTCGCCATGCAACAAGGCTCGTCATCCGCGGGAGATCTAGCTGTAATGACTCCGAAAACCCAGTCAGCCATGTGAGCTAAATCAAAGGAGTCGATTACGTCACGACTCCACGATTTCAGCGCATCAGTTACGCCACGACTCCACAATTTTAACGTATCAGTTACGCACTAAAGGCCTATAAATAGCTATGAGTAGCTATAAAAAAAGGGGGAGGCAGACGAGGAGCACGAGAGGCAGAGCTTTGGCATTCAAGATTGAGATCCGAACCTCGGTTCTAACAATCTAAGCCATCAACAAAGTCTGATTCTCTTCTCGAGTTGAAGCGATCTTGATCTGATCGTCAACGGGAAGCAAGCTCGACGAACAAAGTCTGATTCTCTTCTCGAGTTGAAGCGATCTTGATCTGATCGTCAACGGGAAGCAAGCTCGACGTGAGCATCGAGAGAAACATCCTTTCGTCACCAAGAACCCACTTTTAAAAGAGAAGTCGAATTAACTTTCTCTTCCTCTGTAATCGAGAGAGTGTGTGAGTGATTGTAAGGGGTTCGTACTAAGTGATCGAACTCATTTCTTAAAACAAGGAATTTAATCGTCAATTTTTTGACCCTACAATCCAAACACAATTTCAATCACAAATTCAAATGCTTCGCAGTGATAATGGAGCTGAATACTGAATACTTCAGTGCAATCTTGGGGGATTATTTATCAAAGATCTTGTGTCGATACCCCTCAACCAAATGAGGTTGCAAAACGGAAAAATAAACATCTGTTAGAAGTTGCACATGCTTTGATGTTTACCACAAATATGCCCAGAATATTCTGGGGGGATGCCAGCCTAATAGCCACCTTCCTCAATAGAATGCCCAGCCGCATCATTTCATTTGAAACACCAATGCATAGACTTTAAAAAACTTTTCAAGTCTTATCGTGTTTGCATCACTCCCACTCAAGGTGTTTGCTTGCACAGCCTTTGTCCATATTCATCCTCATAACCGGAGCAAACTTGATCCCAGGGCTCGCAAATGTGTTTTTGTTGGCTATTCTCCCACACAAAAAGGCTACGAGTTTTTTGATCCCTTAACAAAAAGGGTGTTGGTTAGCCATGATGTGACCTTCTTTGAGAACATTCCTTATTTAAAAAAATCCGAACTTCTGGGGGAGAATATGAGTGAAGCCCGCCTTTTGGAGGATTTGGATTTTGCTGTACCCACATCCAAAACTATTCTAGCATCTGAGCCTACCTCAAACACTGGACTTGTCATCACAGATCCTGAACCTGCTTTACCGTCTCAAGATCCCGAACCTGCTCCATCGTCTTAACCTAGTCCTGAATTCATTGCTTTTGAACCATCACTCCATATCAACCCATTTTGCCATATGTAGAAGGAAACTTAAACTCAGGGGGAGATACAGAAAAACGAAAAGCCAAGGAGATAATTGTGTACTCAAGGAAGCCGAAACCAAGGTACAGGGAGCACCTCATGTCCGAGGCACCAAGAGAGTTAGAACCGGTGGTAGCTCCTTGTCCTCCTGAATCATCATCAGAGTCACTTAACATAGATCTGCCTGTTTCCCTCAGGAAAAAACAAGATCATGTACTCTTCACCCGTTGTCAAAGTATATCTCCTATAAAGCTTTGTCTACTAAAATACAGGCCTTTACCACTCACCTTGATGAAACAGAAATTCCAAGGAATATACAGTAGGCCCTGGAGGACCTTAGGTGGAAGAAAGCTGTTATGGAGGAGATGAAAGCTCTGGAAAAAAATGAGACGTGGGAGGTGATGGATTTACCTAGAGAAAAGAGGCATGTTGTCTGCAAATAGGTCTTCTCTGTGAAATACACAGCTGAAGGGAAGATAGAACGATAGAAGGCTCGACTAGTTGCAAAAGAGTTTACACAAATTGATGGTATCGACGACACTGAAACATTTGCACCTGTGGCCAAGTTAAACACTGTTCGTGTGCTTCTATCTCTTATTGCCAATCTTGACTGGACTCTACAAGAACTTGATATCAAGAATGCTTTTTTGAATGGAAATCTAGAAGAATTCTATATGACAATACTACCAGGTTTCTGCAAGAAAGGCGAAGAAAACCAGGTGTGTAAACTGAAAAATCTCTCTATTGCCTCAAACAGTCACCGAGAACTTGGTTTGAGAGGTTCATGAAGTTGATAAAAGATCACGGATACAAATAGGTGCGTTCTGATCACACATATGTTCTTCCATGAAGATAAAGACAGATTGAAGACAATATTAATTGTGTATGTCGATGATATAATTCTCATCAGAGACAATCTGGTGGAGATGGAGAGACTCAAGAAAATTCTAGCCTCAGAATTTGAAGTAAAAGATGTGGGACAGTTGTGGTATTTCTTGGGAATGGAAGTGACCAGGTCAAAAATTGGCATTAGTGTCTCTCAAAGGAAGTGTGTTCTAGACCTTCTGGCTGAAATGGGGATGCTTGGATCTAGACCAAGTGACACACCAATTGAGGCAGGAAAAAGATGGATGATGCTGGTAAACCAGTAGAGAAGGAAAGATCTCATAGGTTAGTTGGCAAGTTGATTTATTTATCTCATACCAAACCAGATATTGCCTTTACAGTCAATGTGGTAAGCCAACACATGCACTCATCAAAGGAGGTACACTTGAAGGCGGTTTACAAAATTCTAAGGGATCTCAAAGGATCTTCAGGCAGAGAATTGCTTTTCAAGAAGGATGAAGACAGAACTGTGGAAGTATTTACAGATGCTGACTGATGCGAAACGGGGGAGGGGGTCTATCAGAATCAGCGATTTAATTTAAACAACACACTGTTTTGTCAAAATTCATGATCTTCGGTAGGAAAATAATTAAAACAATTAACGCGACAGATGGATTTTAATCAGATTTGCAACGATAGTCATGAACAATTCCAATCTCGAATAATTTAATCACAATATTCATTATCGTTGTGCAAGTTCTACAATCAATATTAAATTTCAGCAGTCACATGTTCAATTATTCTCAACTCACAGATTTAGTTTAAGCAGTGAATATATGATAAGAATTTAGAGATGTAATACTCATGCAATTAACTAATAAATTGAAATCAACAGAAAAATACCGAGTTGAGAGAAGCGAAACCTTAGTAGATCACTATTTAAAACTGTTGAAAGAAATCCAAGGCCCATTAGCTTCTACAGTGAAGCCCAAAGCGTAGATCACTATTTAAAACTGTTGAAAGAAATCCAAGGCCCATTAGCTTCTACAGTGAAGCCCAAAGCCCATAAAATCCACAAGTCCACTCACGTGAAAAAATAGTTTGTCCTGTTAACCTGCTATGCTTTGCTTGGATCTGAAGAAAAAAAAGGAAGGAGCGACTTCGGGAGGGTCTCATTTCTCTACGAGTTCTTTGATTTGAAATCTGACGGAGAAAGGCGAAACGGTCTGTTCGACGATGAGGAAGAACGACGAAAGAGTGCGAGATCCGACGACGACGCGAGCAATGACGAGAGGCGCGAACGATGTCCGAGGACGAAGAAGGACGGTGATGGTCGTCGACGAAAGGGAATCTGATGTCGACGAGGTGGCGGGACGACGCGGGCGACGTAGTCATTCGGAGGTGAAGGAGAATAGGACGTCGGCGGCGTTGCTCGAAGGAGAAGAGGGCGGGGGAGAGGCTATGGTTGTTCGGCTGAGGAAAGAAACGACAAGCACTAGCCTAGGGTTTCACACCCATCGGTTTCACACCAAATTAAGCCAATGTAATTTTTTATTTCATTCTTCAATAATTCATTGATTTTCAATAGTCTCATACAACCTTATTTATAAAAAAAAACTACGTGCACACAACGTGCAATAAAAATAGAAACAAACAACAATCCCACAAATCACTCAACTAAAATTAAACTAAATTTTAAATTTCAAATTTCAAATTTCAAAATTCAAAAATATATCAACTAATCAAATATTGTTATTTCTTGTCCTCATTACTGACTGGGCTGGATCAGTTGAAGACAGGAGGTCTACCGCTAGGTATTGTACTTATGTCTGGGAAACTTGGTAACTTGGAGAAGTAAGGAACAAAATGTCGTAGCAAGAAGTAGTGCAGAGGCTGAATTCAGGGTTATTGCTCAGGGAATATGTGAAGGGTTGTGGTTAAAGAACCTCCTGGAAGAATTGAGAATTACAATGGAATCTATTGTGATAACAAGGCAGCCTTCAGCATATCTCTCAATCCAGTTCAACACGACAAGACCAAGCATGTGGAGGTTGGCAGGCACTTCATCAAAGAAAAAGTTGAGAATGGAACTATATGTTTAACATATATCCCCACCAGAATAGACTGCAGAAATCTTCACCAAAGGGCTACCTCAACAAAACTTCAATGATTGCATTGGCAAGTTGGACATAATCAACATTTATGGTCCAACTTGAGGGGGAGTGTTGAAATCAGGGAAAGAATCATGTAAATTAGGGGTTGAAATCCCAGTCAAATCACATAGAATTAGGGATTGATTTGTACCATAATCGACTTAGTATTTTGGGATTAATTTAGGCTGATTGGTAGGGCAATTTATGGTGTGCAGATTTCTTTTTTTTCTTTTTTGCTTGGTTCTGTAGTTGTATAAATTTAGCTTGTGTACCCAGATTTTTTTGTCAATGAAACACAGAAAAAGTTAACCCCATTCTGGTTTCAAAATGCTTTAACATTCTACACACTTTTATGTAATAGTATATAAGCTAATATAAGATTAATATACTTTCTAATTGTCAACATGAAAACCTGCCATTAATGTCCTTTTATATTCAACATACTTATGTCTTTTTAGTTTCTAACAAACATAATCATTTTCTCGTTGCAATGTAGTTGTCAAATGAAGAACACAATTCATAAGCTTACTTAATTAAGGGCATTTTCATTTACCACCTGTAAGTTCTTGAGTGCAGAGAGTTCCGAGAAGAGGCTCAAATACTCCTTCTGAATCTTATTATCTGCCAATTCATGAAGGTGCATTAGTGGAGATTGATCATGATGATTTCCCTTTAGATGGCCTCTTGACCAACTCATCGTCACAAGATAGTGCATGGACATACTTTTTCCTCGATATTTCACAAGGTGCTGCTGGAGCTAATATGCATGTGCAGCTGGTATCTGAGGCGAAATTGACATATGAAGTTTATTCAAAGCACAGTGGTCTAGCATCTAGCGATTATTGGGATTATTATGTTAACAGCAGAAGTAGTATCAACGGATCAACAATATTGGCCCTAAATGATTCAAGTGAAAGAAAGATAAACTTTTACATACTGTATCCAAAGGAAGGACTTTGGTCTTTTGCAGTTAAACATCCTCCCCTTACTCATCACAAACAACAGACTACCATGTCCATTAACATTGTGGGGTGCCCCAAACACTGCTCTTCTCATGGACAATGCCATTATGCTGTAGATGAAAGTGGAGGGACATTCTACAGGTTTCTTTTTTCCCCCAGGAAACTATGTTTTTAAATTTTTTTAATTCTCATGGACAATGCAATTAACTGTTTGAAAGTTCTACAACATGCAAAAATTTTAGCATATTTTAATGCTAGTTTTTCTTTTCCTTTCAGCTACTGTGCATGTGATCGTGATCATGGAGGCTTTGATTGCAGCAATGAACTTGTATCCCACTCAGGTAAGGAGTCTAATGACTTCTATTTTATATATTCAATTTGTATGTTAAAGAATATGTTCCCTAGTATAAAATAATGTAATCTCATTAGCTTTAAGTAAATTTGATGTGGTTTAATATCATTCCTATAGTTTTCTCAAAAAATATTCGAAACTTAAAAAATCATGTCGGTTTAAGCTAAGGTTTGAAAACTGGTTCCCCTATCAACATACCATTCTTTCTTTATGATCAATATGGTATCACAAGAGATTTTAGACAAGGATTCTAGTACTTTTAGTATTTACATCTTCAATAAATAAGTTTTTACCATAAATATAATCGATGAAGGGTAGAATAACATTTGACGAGATCTATGGGTGATGCATTAATTTTTCAAATAATATGATATTCTAATTAGTAATTTAATTTATCTAGTATTAAGTGGTACTCTGATTGATGAATGCAAATCCCAACCTATGTGTTCTATTACTTGACACTTGAGGTTTGATGGATATTTTGGAAATTCTTTAAATGTTTTATATATCTAGACATATCAGACGCTAGTTAGTTAAAGATTTTATTGCATGAGCATTAACTCATATGAACATATGTATTTTTAGTATCTACAACATACCTGCACTCTGAAATTTTAAGATATTCATATATGCACCTCTGTTTCATCATATCAACAGCCCGTAACCTTACTAGTGCAACATAAATATAGCATAACTAAGTTTATTCATCGAATATGTTTCTGGTCTATATAACATGATTTTATTTAGGATACTGAATATGAAATGTTAATGATTGTTTCATGTCATATTTCTTTCTTTCTTCTGTTTCTGTTTATTTGTGTTGGGCTCTTCCTGTGAGTGTAAGATCCAGTAACAAATCATGATAAAGAAAAGTCTTTCTCCCAAAATTTTGGGGTCAGCCACATTTATTTTCTCCAGTCAGCCTGATAGGGTCAATCTTCTCCGAATTAAGTAGTAATTTATATCTAGTCATTGTCCTCAGCTCTCCATCCTTGTTCATTTATGTCTAGCCATTGTTCTTATTGCATCCATCAACTCATTCCTACTCCTACCTGTCATGCTTATCTGCTTCACATATTATTTCCAGACCATCTCAAGTTATCTTTGAATAACTTGATCAAAGCTCTTTTTTCAGATCGTTATCTTTCTATGTCGGTACGTAACCTGAACAAGCCTTGTGATTGATGGATTTCATTGTTAGTAGTTTCATTGATTACTGTGCAATTTGATAGTCTTTGGTTCTGCTGTTAGTAAATTAATAATAACTCGTCAATTCTAGCCTTTTTCATGTTTTGGTAAAATTGCAAGTTTTAGTTTCCATCAAGTATTTGGATTTCAAATAGCCACATCCAGTTTAAGGGTAATGTGGACTTCACATTTGCAATCTCTAACCAGTTTGTTGACCTGTGATCTGCATAGTAGTGGCTAAGGCACATAAATAAATTTTGGTTGCTTTCATAGTGAAGATGATAGCTTGACAAATAACCCATTCAGCATTTGGTACTCCTTTCTTGCATTGTTTTACATATGTTAAGCCAATATGTTTATCTCAGTTTAAAGAAAATTTCTAGTGTCAACCTAATATTTGTTTGAAAATACAGGACATGTTTGGCAATCAATTTTTCTTATAGCATCAAATGCAGCTGCTGTACTACCCGCATTTTTAGCCCTTCGTCAAAAGGTATTTATTGATTTTTCCTTTAGAATGACATTTTTTAAAATATTTCTGTAGTCTTGATTTATCCTAACCTAACAAGCAGTAAAGAGATAATTTTCTCTTTTATGGCGACTTAGGTAGTTGTTAGAATTATATTAAATTTCACCTTGTACAAGGAAAAGAACAGGATGGAAATCCACTTATTTTTCTCATTCATGATGTGTAGTCAACTTGATATTGCTAAAAAGACCTCAATACTCAATTCTCAGGCATTTGCTGAATGGGTTCTGTTTACTTCTAGTGGGATTTCTAGCGGGCTATATCATGCTTGTGATGTGGGCACCTGGTGTGCTCTCTCTTTCCATGTGTTACAGGTATGCTCCTTACACTGCTTCTATATTCGTGACGGATAACAAATTAGATTTTAAGAAAGTTCAGTAATAATTCGTTGATTGGTTACTAGAAAATATAAATTTGAAATGAGCACAATTTTGTAGTATTTTTTTTACCCTCGTACCAGTTAGTAACTGGAATATGAAACTAGCTAGTGTACTTTGTCACAAGTAATATGGAAATGTTTATTGCAACAGTGCAATATTCTTGAACTTAATAAGGCGGCGAATGTTTTAAGCTTTCTTTCTCTCTTGTGAATGTTGGCAACAAGCCCTGAAAATAAATGAAAGGAATATTAGTATTTTCAGGAATCCAAGTTATTTTTTCACTAGGCAGTACCCATCAATTTTTTGTAAGGTGAACAAACTTCAGTCAAAATTAAGTGTGGTTCTTATCTTATTATGCCAACAGTTTCCATATTTCATACTTGACAAAGAGGCTTCTGAAACATAAGATTAATACCTTGTTGTCCCTCACTGGCTTTATGAGTTAACTGCATCTGTCTTTCCCCGTAACTTAAGATATCGGAATAATCTCTAGGGAGCATGGAAATAAGGTTTGATATTAATCAGAAATTTAACAGCTGCTCATCATAGGGCCTCAGAGATATATACTGACCTTCTGAACTATGTTAGTCATTAGTTTTCAAAATAAGTATAGAGTTAAAATAACAGGATTCCTTTTAAAACAATGGATCTGCTCAGTTATGTACTTGGGGAATTTTGTTGCTTATAGGAACTTCTATTTTCATGCAAGATTTTCAATGCAATATGTGTGCATATGTAAATCTGTTGTATTTCTGTCATCCATGTTTGCATGTGTCCAAAGTATTGTGTCATTCATCTTGTTGTGACTGCATATTTAGATTGATCTTCCATTTATCAAAGCAAAGGATATTTCTTAAAACAAGAAGTGTATTTT